GTCTGAGATCATGGTTGTTTGCAGGTTTCTGAACTGGAAGGTGAACTGGAGGGTGAAATCCGGCGCAATGCAGAGGCACAGAGGGGAGCCCGCCGGCTGGAGCGATGCATCAGAGAGCTGACCTACCAGGTACTCCAGGAAAGTACCCCCTGTCTGGCTGGGCTCCATCCTGGAAAAATGGGCTCTGTCAAGCCAGTAATGGCCTTCTAGGTCTCCTGCATTTCTTTCTCCATCTTCACTCTCACTCAGTAGTACACACTGACTCACCCTTCCAGGGCCCCTGTGCTATTAGTGGTTTGGGTCGGTCCCTTTTCAGAGCTCTCAGGAAGCCAAATGTGAGCAGCAATTTGCAATTAGAAATAAAAAGCTATTTATACTGTTCCTATTTTTTCACACATAATGCCTGCAGCACTTTCAGAAACACTCCTTCCTATGAGAGCCTGAGTGAGAACAATGTGTAAATGAAGTGAGTGGCAGACACTGGCAGCTCCTCAGGGGGAAGGTTACGTGGGACACTGACTAAACGTCCCATGGAAGCCGGGGACATGTACACTCCAATTTTCTGGTTGCACAAACATTCCGGGCCACTGAGGACTCTATTTGGTGCTGGTGCCAGGTGAAAAAAGCAAATGGCTAATGAGAGGCCTCTGAAGCTTTCCGACTATTTTCCTGTTGACCAACACGGGTCTCAAGCAACTAGTGGAAAAGAAGTGGGTAGATTTTCCACCAGTAATTAATACATTTCTAAAGTAACAATGTAATCTTTTGTTCTTATTTTTATTTTCTAACCTTTTTTCTTATTACTTCAAATGGAGTAAACCAAACAGCAGAAGCAGTTTGTTTGCCGCTGTGGGGCCTCGCACTTTCCTGGCTCAGAGCAGATGAACATATTTCAGTGGCTGAACAACAGATGCCCAAGGTCTCTTTCTAGCCCTTTCTGCTGCACAGTGCAGCTTATTTCAGTGAGAAGGCAAACTCATTCTAGGCTCCTGCATTTACAGCAGCTCCAGCAGTACTAAAGCAACGCCTGTCCCGATTCTGGCTCCTGGGGCTGCGCTGTTGGTGTTAGAGACATCAAAGTCTTCCTCCCTTGCAGCAGGAAAGATAATGTTGATAAAAAAGCAGAGCACTTCAGAAGCATCATCTTGGGCTAATTAAGATGAAATAAGCCACTTGTGCAACTCTTTTTTACTGACTAAGTGGTTCTTTTCAAAGATGGGCTAGTCTGACACTTCTTTAGACCTTGCAGGTGTATCAAAGCCACTGAGGAGCGAGCCCATGGCGTGCACAGCTCAGGAAGTACACACCTGGGGGATATGAAGGATGTGGTGTTCTACTCTCCTTCTAAGGGGTTGGGGGAAGCCACCTATGTTGAGGGGATGAAATGCTCCTTGTTAAGAATGTCTGGGTTTTTCTTCTCTTTATTTTCCAATGGATTATTTTTACTGTTTCCTTCTGTAAACAACCTCATTATAGAAATAAACACCAAAGCTATATTTTTTTTATCCCAAGGACTGCATTCGTATTTGACTGTGTTAGAGCTTTGTTTCTTCATAGCAACAATCTTAGTATTCCCCAGGTGCTGGTATAGAGGTGTATTTCTTAATTTCTCCCAACTGTCTGCACGATGCTTAGAGTGTATCTATTCAATTACACAATGATTTTCTGCCATCAAATCAGATAACACCTATTGAATACCTATGTTATGCAAATATTACTCTATATTCTGTAAGCTTAAAGAGACATTTGAGAGCCCTCTACATTTCTTAATATCCACACCAGGTTTTGAAACATTCAAGGTGGATGCCAAGTTCATTGAGTCTGCTCTCCTTTAACATCAAAATAACCATCAGGACCAGGAGGCAGGGTGTTTTGTGATAGTACTTTATAGGTACCAATTGAAAATGTCATTTTGAAAGGGACCGAAATACGGTTTTTCTTTCTTAGAAAAAATCCCTCTGGGAAGACCCTACTACATTGGAAAGGGAATCCAAGGTGACCCTACCCACAATAGTTCTGTGAGCAGTCCCCACTGAGTGTTTATCTCCCATTACAGGTCCTTTCTCTCTCCACTGTCTTGAAAAATGGGCTAAAAAGCAAGACATAATATTAGAAACTTACAACTGTTAAAAAGGTAAAGGTAGTTCTCCTGCCCCCACTCTTCATCTGCCTGCTCCATTTTACCTAGGACTGCTTCCTACATTCAGGGATCTGTGTGCAGACATTATTTAATCCTTACAAATCTAAATACAGAAATGGTATCTTAATTTTTGGAGGAATAAGGAAAGAAAATTTGGTCTTCCGTGGGTCCCCCAGGAACCAGATGCCAGAATAGAATTAGAAGCACAAGAGATTTTTTGGAGCTAACATCTGGGAAAGAAAGAGAAGAGAAGAGCAAGCAGGATCAGGTAGAGAAAGCCTTCAGACCGCAGTATGTGTCTGACACCTGTGAAAGGAAAGGATGAAGGATGGAGCATTGGATAGAAGGAGTCTCACAGTGCAGTGCTGCTCCCAGCAAGTCTCCAGCACAAAAATTGCCCATGCAGGAGTCACATGTCAGGTGGAAATGGCCAGACCCTGGTAACTCCGCTGTGCCTAGTTGTTGGTAGGGGCTGCTGGGGAGTTTGTGATCTCAGTGTAAATGCTATGGCAGGTCTCAAAGGCACTGCAACTGGAGGTTTTCAGGACACTGTACTCCTCACAGAAGAACAGCAAGTGTCTTGAAGGGAAATTTGAGCAGTGCACAACCATAGTTACCATAATTACTTGATGCCTCAGAGCTGAGATGTATGTAAACCTAGGACTTGCCTTACCAAATGGGAGGAACATTAACATCGGCAACCACTTCTAGCCATTTTCAATTTTCTTCTGTGTGGCTTCCTTTACCACACAGTACTTTTACTGCCTTCAGTAAATTGGTATTAAGCAATTCAACTTCTGTTGGTTTTAGAACTTTCTATACACACAGAATTCTGTGAATCTTCAAATTTCTTAACTGTGAGAAATACAGGGATAGGCAGATGAAAACAGAAAAGAGATTTTATTTTAAAAATTGACTTGTCTCATTTTCCTAACCAGGCTATTTCTTATATATTTCTTATATATTTCTTATATATTGGTCCCTGCCTTAGTATGCTCAAAATGAGTTATTAATTATCTATGGTCAGGCTTACTTTAAGGTGGAGGTAGGAGGGAGCATTCTAGGCCATGGGAACAGCTTGGTTGAACATATATTTATTCATCAATATTTGTTTGTTTATAAATATAATGGACTTATAACATGGTATTAGTTTTGGATGTGCAGCATAATGATTTGATAGATGTTTACATTGTGAAATGATTATCACAACATGTTTAGTTAATAGTTATCACAACACATAGTTACAAATTTTTTTTTTATGATAAGAACTCAAGGTTTATACTCGTAGCAACTTTTGAATGTACAATGCAGTATTACTAACTATAGTCAACAGGCTGTATGTTACATTTCCAGGGCTTATTCATTTTACAACTAGAAGTTAGTACCTTTTGACTACCTTCGCCTATTTTTCCAACCTCATGCCATTTCTCCACCCCCATTGCCTCTGGCAACCACCAATCTGTTCTCATACCATAAGTTCAGTTTTTTAGATTTTAAATATAAGTGAGATCACATATTATTTATCTTTCTCTGATTTATTTCATCTAGCATAATGCTTTCCAGGTTCATCCATGTTGTTGCAAATGGCAGACTTTTCTTCTTTCTTATGGCTGAAAAGTATTCCATTGTAAATACATACCACATTTTCTTTATCTATGCTCCCATCAGTGGACACTTAGGTTGTTCCCATGTCTTGGCTATTGTAAATAATACCGCCATGAACATGAGGGTGCAAATACTTTTTAGAGTTAGTTATTCTGTTTCCTTCAAATAAATACTGAGAAGTGAATCTCTGTATCATATAGTAGTTCTATTTTTAATTTTTTGAGGAAGCTCCACACTGTTTTCCACAGTGGTTATGCCAACTTGTATTCCCACCAAGAGTGCACACAAATTCCCTTTTCTCCACATTCTTATCTTACCAACACTTATTTCTTCTCTTTCTGATAATGCCATTATAATGACAGCTGTGAGGTGATATGCTATCTCATTGTGGTTGTGATTTGCATTTCCCTGATGGTTTGTGATGCTTAACATCTATTCATGTACCTGTTGGCCATTTGTTTATGTTCTTTGGAAAAATATCTCCTCAGATCTTCTGCTCATTTTTAATCACTTTTTTTTGCTTCAGTTGTATGGTTATTTATGTATTTTAGATATTAACCCTTTATCAAATATGATTTGCAATTTTTTTTCTGTTTTATAGGTTGCTTTTTCATTTTGTTGATGGTTTCTTTTGCTGTATCTTTGGTGTCAAATAAAAAAAATTATTGCCAAGACCAATGTCAAGGAGCTTATTCCCTATGTTTTCTTCCTGCAGTTTTATGGTTTCAAGTCTTACATTCAAGTCTTTAATCCATTTTGAGTTCATTTTTGTATATGGTGTAAATAGTGGTTTAGTTTTCTTCCTTTGCATATGCCTGTCCAGTTTTCCCAACACCATTTATTGCAGAAATTGTCCTTTTTCTTTTGTATATTCTTGGCTCCTTTGTCATAAATTAATTGACCCCACATGTGTGGGTGTTTTCCTGGACACTCTATTCTGTTCTATTGATCTATGTGTATGTTTTTATAGTTATCAAAACAGTACAAGCTATTTTGATTACTATAGCTTTGTAATATCATTTGAAATCAGGAAGCATAGTACCCCCGACTTTTTCTTTTTCAAGATTGCTTTGGTTATTCAGGATCTTTTGTGGTTTCATATGGATTTTAGAATTATTTGTTCTACTTCTGTGCCTTTGGAGTTATGATAGAAATTGCATTGAATCTGAAGATTACTTTGGGTAGTATGGACATTTTAACAATATTAATTCTTTTAATCTATGAGAATAGAATATTTTTTCATTATTTTATTTTTTTTAATATGGAATGCTTCACAAATTTGCATGTCATCCTTGCACAAAGGCCATGCTAATCTCTGTACTGTTCCAATTTTAGTATATATACTGCCAAAGTGAGCACTTTTTTCATTGTTCTGTGTCAATTCCCTTCACCAATGTCTTACAGTTTGCAGCATATGTATTTTTCACCCTCTAGGTTACATTTTTTCCTAATATTTTCTTCTTTTTTGATGGAAGTGTAAATAGAATTATTTTCTCAATTTCTCTTTCTGATAGTTTGTTATTAGTGTGCAGAAACAACCATTTTGTTTATTTTTTTGTATTCTGTAAATTTACTGAATCTGTTTATTAGTTCTAACAGGTTTTGGTGACATCTTTAGGATTGTCTTTATGTAATATATCATGTCATCTGAAAATAAAACAATTTTACTTCTTACTTTGTTCTGGATGACTTTTCTTTTTCTTGCCTAATTGCTCTGGCTGGGACTTCCAGTACTGTGTTGAATAAAAGTGGGGAGAGTGGGCATCTTTGTCTTGTTCCCAAGTTTAGAGGAAAAACCTTCCGTTTTATCCATTGAGTATGATGCTAACTTTAGGCTTCTCATACATGGACTTTATTGTATTGAGGTATATTCCTTCTATAGCTATTTTATTGGGGGGCTTTTGTCATGAATGGATATTAAGTTTTGTTGGGTCCTTTTTTTGTGTCTCTTGAGATGATCATGATTTTTATCATTCATTTTGTTAATGTTGGTATATCACATTGATTGATAAACCATACTTGTACTCCTGGAATAAGTTTTATTTGACCATGGTGTATAATTCTTTTAATGTACTGTTGAATTTGATTTGCTAATATTTTATTGAGGATTTTTGCATCCATGTTCATTGGGGATGTTGGCTTGTAATTTTCTTTGTGTGTGTGTGGTGTCCTTGTCTGGTTTTGGTATCAGGGTAATGCTGGCCTCATCAAAAGAGTTGGGAGGTATTCCCTTCTCTTCTATTTTTTGGAAGAGTTTGGGAAGAACTAGTATTAATTCTTCTTTAAATGTTTGGTAGAATTCACCAGTAAAGCTGTTTAGTACTGGACTTTTGTTTGTTGGGAGGTGTTTGATTACTGATTCAATCTCCTTACTTGTAACTGGTCTGTTCAGATTTTCTATTTCTTCATGATTTAGTCTTGGTAAGTTGTATGTTCTTTATGTTCTAGGAATTTATAATTTTCTTCTAGGTTCTCCAGTTTATTGGCTCTAATTTTTCACAGTAGTTTCTTATGAACCTTTTGTATTTTTGTGGTATCAGCTATAATGTCTTCTCTTTCATGTTTGATTTCATTTATTTAAATCCTTTTTTCTTTTTTTTTGGTGAGTCTAGCTAAAGGTTTGTTAATTTTGTTTATCCTTTTAAAAATAAGCACTTAGTATCATTGACCTTTTCTATTATCCTTTTAGTTTCTATTTCATTTGTTTCCACTCTGATCTTTATTTCCTTCCTTCTACTAACTTTGGGCTTCATTTGTTCTTTTTTTTTAGTTTCTTGAGATTTAAATTAGGTTATTTATTGGAGATACTTATTTTTTCTTAATATAGGCATTTATCACTATGAGCTTCCCTCTTAGAACTGCTTATGCTGTATCCTCTAAGTTTTGGTATGTTTTATTTCCATTTTCATTTTTTGCAAGGTATTTTTTTAATATCCTTTTTGATTTCTTCTTTGACACATTGGTTATTCAGTACCATGATGTTTAATCATATATTTGTGAATTTTCCAGTGTTTTTCTGTAATTGGTATCACTGTGGTTGGAAAAGATACTTGATTTTAATCCTTTCAAAGTTATTAAGACTCATTTTATGGCCCAACATATGACCTGTCCTATAGAATATTTCATGTGTGCTTGAGAAGAATGTGTATTCCATTGCTTTTAATGCAATGTTCTGTATATGTCTACTAAGTCTATCTGGTTTAATGGTTTCATGTATCCTTTAAGGCCATTGTTTCCATAATGATTGTCTGACTGTATGATTTATCCACTGATGAAAGGGTGTTTCAAAGTCTCCTACTATGCCCTGACTGGTGTGACTGAATGGGTTGGGCATCATCCCACAAACTGAAAGTTCCCCAGTTTGATTCCTGGTCAGGGCACATGCCTGTGTTGTGGGCCAGATCCCCCATTAGAGACCTGCAAGAGGCAACCAATCAATGTTTCTCTCCCTCTCTTTCTCCCTTCCCCACTCTCAAAAAAAAAAAAGAAATAAAATCTACAAAAAAGTTCCCTGCTATTATTTATCACTGTTTATTTTTTACTTTTATTTCTAGTAATATATGCTGTATAAATTTAGATGCTCCTATTTGCATAAATGTTTATAGATCTTATGTCCTCTTGAATTGACTGCTTTATCATTATATAATGACCTTTTTTGTCACTTATTACAGTCTTCCTTAAAAACTGTTTTGTCTGATGTAAGTGTAGCTATCCCACCATTTTTGGTTTCCATTTGCATAGAATATATTTTTCTATTCCTTCAATTTTAGTCTCTCTGTGTCCTTATATCTAAAGTGAGTCTCTTGTAAACAGCAGATAGAAGGGTTTTGTATTTTATCCATTCAACCACTCTATGTCTTTTGGTTAGATAACTTAGTCAATTTACAGTAATAGTAATTATTCATAGGTATGTACTTATTGCCACTTTATTAATTGTTTTCTTTGTTCCTTTTTTTCTCTTGCTTTCTCTGTTTGTGATTTGATTATTTTCTGTGGTGGTTTACTTAGATTCTTTTTGTTTTTTGTGTATCTACTGTAGCTTTTTGCTTTGTTTGTTACCATGAGGCTTGCACAAACAACCTGTATTTATAATAGTCTATTTTAAGTTGATAACAACTTGTTTTAATTCATTTTTAAGCTTTATAATTTTACTCTTTTCACTGGCATTTTGTTTTTGATACCACAATTTCCATTTTCTTATCTTGTCTACTTAATAACAACTTTTTTGGTTATAGTTATTTTTACTATTTTTGTCTTTTAACTGTTATAAGTGATTTACTCACCACCATTACATTAGGTTATTCTGAACTCAACTATTTATCTTTACCAAAGCTATATTTTCATGTTTTCTTGTTTGTAATTAGTGCCCTTTTATTTCATCTCAAGAAATCTTTTTAATGTTTCTTGTAAGGCTGGTCTAGTGGTGCTGAATTTCATCAGCTTTTGCTTGTCCAGAAAACTGTTTGTCTCTCCTTCAATTCTGAAGGACAACTTTCCAGGTAGAGTATTCTTTGTTGGCGGGGGTTTTTGTTTGTTTGTTTGTTTAGTACTTTGAGTATATTGTGCCATTCCTTTCTGGCCTGGAAAGTTGCTGCTGAAAAATCTGCTGATGCTCTTATGCGGGGGGTTGGGGGGCATCCCTTATGTGTAAAGAGTTGTTTTTCTCTTGCTGCTTTTAAGATTCTCTTTTTGTCTTTAACTTTTTACAATTTAACTATAATGTGTCTTAGGTTTATCTTATTTTGAATTCTTTGGGCTTCCTGCATCTGTATGTTTATTTCCTTCCCCAGGTTAGGGAACTTTCTAGCTGTTATTTCTTCAATAAGTTTTCTGCCCCCTTTCTCTTTCTCTTCTTCTTCTAAGACCTGTTTAATGAAAATGCTGGTCTGCTTGATGTTGTCTTTTAAGTCCCTTAAGCTATCCTCACTCTTTCTTATTCCCTTTGCTGCTCTGATAGGGTGAATTCCACTGTCATATCTTTGAGCAAATGGACCCTTTCTTCTGCTTCACCTAGGCTGTTGTTGAGCTCCTCTATTGTATTTTTTTTCAGTTTAGTTATTATATTATTCATCTCTGTATTTTCCATTTAGTACTTTATTATATTTCCTCTTTGTTGGAATTTTTACTTTATTCATGCATGTTCTCCTGAAATTGATGAGCAGTTTTATGTTCATTATTTTGAACTTTTTATCAGATAAATCATTGACCTACATTTGTTTTAATAAAGTTTATTTTGTTCTTTTATGTGGAACATGTTCCTTTGTCATTTCATTTTCCTTGACTCTTTGAGTTGGTTTCTATGCATTAAATAAAACAGCTACCTCTCTTAGTCTTGAGTAAGTAGTATCATGTAGAAGATGATTATTCTCATTCAACCTTGCCCTAGCTCTTGAGTGTCTCCACAACCTTTGTGATTGTCTAAGAAGTAGTCATTGTTCTTCATGGCTCCCTGTATTTGAGAATATGCACAACTTGTCAGTATCCCAAAAGGGAGGATCTCAGTCAGTGCCTAGATGCAGGCTGACTGGAAGCTAGATCCTCAGGAAGGAGATTTTAAAATATTGCAATATACCTCTTTAAGAGTAAAAATGGGAGAGAGGCATTTCTGTCTGTTTCCGATGATTGTAGTTTGGGGTGGTAGCCAGTTATATACTGTTTCTTTTGTTTGATACCACCTCATTGAACCTATGTACACAAACCTTGTGGCTGCCAGAGCCAGGCTATCAAGGGATATATGCTCTGCACAGCAGTCATAGACACCAGGGCACCAGACATGTGCACATACTTCTTTCTCAGAGATACCAGTGGCATGAGGCAAGGCAGTTGGAGATCTTGAAGATGGCATCCAGCAGGCTGCCTCCTCATCTTTGGAGGGGATTGAAGCTGGCTTCTTGATGTTTGTTAAATTAGAAGACTGCCCCATAGGCTATAGCTACTAAGATAAGCAAATAGGCCCTTTTTAAAAAAAGTATATAATTCAGTGTCTTTTATTGTATTCAAAGATGTATGGATAGGTTACCACATTCAATGTTAGAGCATTTTCTTACCCCCCAAAGAAACCCCACACCCTTTAGCCATCATCCCAAATCCTCATCTTCCTCCTGGTCCTAGGCAACCAATAACCTACATATTTGTCCCCATATATTTATTTCTGTTTCAAGCCTATGCTCTAACATACTGAGTGTCTAACAAGTCACAGAATGCAATCTATTTTCTCTTGATACTCTGCCTTAGAATTTTGTGTTCCTTCTGCAAATAGGCCTCTTTTAATGTAAGACTGGGTGTTTCTGTCTGCTGCGTTGGTACTGGGTTGTGGGGAGATATTGGCTAAACTTACAGAGGAGGAAATAAGAAAGGGA